GCACAAAAGCCTTCTTGCTTCGCGCAAAAGCCTCACCCCCAGCATAACTAAAGCTCTATTTCCGGCCAAGCATCAGAGGTCTCACCTGAGCATCTGACGTCCACAACGTTAGGTTGTCTCTCAACAACTGCATGATGAGGGTTGAATCCTTGTAGCTGTCTTCGCTCAGCGTGTCAAGCTCAGCAATGGCGTCGTCGAACGCCTGAAATTGGGTATATCCACCAATGCACGCAATTGCACAAGTTCAGTGTCTTTTGCATAAAATCTCCTAGACCCCAACGTGCCCCTAAATGTAAAGCAATTGGGCATCAACCTGCGCATCGCACTCGAATTGACATCGAGTGTCGCAGCTGGCTCATGGTTTTAATGCGCTCTGCCTTAGGAGCCGATTTTAAAAAACATACCATGGCTGATACCGACGCGCGTGCGGCTGGACAGATACATCGACACTCCCCACAGTTAGATCACAAGTACCCTCAACCGACACGCGGACCTGATCACGTGCAGTTGTGACACTGGGTTGCCGACGGTTGGGACAGGTTTGGCCCATGTTGTGCAACTCTTATTTTATAATCAGAAACCTTTGTGTCTCACGCTTCTCCCTGCCCGACAGGAAATGTACGTCCTATTGCACTGCCGTCGGGAAATCACGCCAGACTCAACATTTTGTACGGACACATTTTGAGCACCGAAAGGCTGACGGCATGGTCCCGATCTGACAATAACAAATCGGGAGGTGGGTTTACCTGCTTGGCCAGCTGGCAGGCCTTCTCGGGCGAGTTCAGGATCTCGTAGTAGAACACGGAGAAGTTCAGGGCCAGTCCCAGCCGGATGGGGTGGGTGGGCTGCATCTTGCTCTTGCTGATCTCAAAGGCATCCTGATAGGCCTTCTGGGAGTCCTCTACAATTGCTGCAGGCACGTGCCAAGTCTGAGTCTCATAACACAGAATTAAATAGCAACCGGCAACCAGCTGACATCCCAGGACCAACCCTCATCTCACGAGCCAGAGGCGGCCTATGAGACATCCAGAACAGGCCAAATGAATGCCTGGGGCATTGCATTACAGCTAATCTCTTGTTGCCCCAGCAGCAGAGTGGGCGACGTTTCGGTGCTGAGCCTCAGAGAGGTAAGCATAGCAGGTGAGGTGCGCACGAACAACGTCGGTTAAAACTAGCTGGAACCCAGATGAGTAGAAATGTTTACTCCAAGGTGATTACCGTGACACACAAGATGTTACAACACATATAACTATCTGGCTGATGCTGTGTATCCCTTAAATATCCTTACTAACAGCACCTTCTAACCCACAATGCATGTGCCAGCCGAGCAGTCCCCAGACTACTTGCATCAAGCAGACTGGCACAGATCTCTATATGTTGGCACATGCATGCCAACTATAATTGCCATTTTATTGCTTTGCTGTGACTTGAATATTTGAAAAGCTACACCACAAATAATTTCTGAAACCAGTGCAAAAACTGTTGCCTTGCACTATTATTGTGACCCTACCCATTTGCCAAAATCCAAAGCTCCATCATCCTACGAACAACCTGCTTGAAACCGCGATGTGATACCACACAAGATGTAGAATGCCTCATCCTGCCCGCAATCTATTCAGCATTATGCAGATCTCACCGTTCCGGGCGTCGCCAGTGGCCACCTCAGCCAGGTAGCGGAAATAATCTCCCTTCATCTTCAGGTAGAACACCTGTGACTCGGCAGTGGAGGCCTTGGCAATGAGGAACTTGTCAAGCAGACCCTGCAGGGCCAAACAAGCTGTCAGCACCACATGTGCAAACACACAACTTCCATCCAAACATTCATTTTTGGTTACAAATTAGCTGGGCAGCGCAGTATTCCAGAGAAACTAGCCATCCTGTATTAATGAACAGTAACTAGAAACTAGCCATCCTCATTTTGGGAAACAATAAATTTATCAATATTCACTAATCAATATTCATCAGCCTTGCTGGAGGTACAGGCCAGCTGCAGCTAATCTGCTTACCAGAACATCATTGCAGATCTCACGAAGCTCTTTCTCGACTTTCTCGCGGTACTCCTTGGCCATCTGCTGTTTTTTCTCACTGCCCTCGGTCTTCTGCTCTATGCTGGAGATCACACGCCAGGAACTGCGACGGGCGCCCACCACGTTCTTGTACGCAACAGAAAGCAGGTTCCTTTCCTCATTGCTCAGCTCATTGCCTGCACAGAATCATACACATTAATCTTAATGTATGCAAAGGTAAAGCTAGCTGCACAAAGTTATATCTACAGGAATGCACAATTTGAAGGATGGGCCATGTAAGCAGTAGTCCAGAACAACTAAGGTACTAGTGTTCATACTAGTGTTACAGCAACTAGTGTTCATAACCCAAAGCCAGAAATTAGAGCCACAAAACATCTTCCCAACCCCACCCATCACTGAAATTTGGAATTTTCACAAAACATCCAGCAACACCCTTGCCCTTAACTTTCACTGGAACTATTTCTGGTGTATCTGAGCTTTAACTCTGCATGCAGCTGTGCATGCAGCTCCAGGAACATACTTTGCTTACTGGAGTGTACATGGGAAAACAACTGCAAATCATGCCACAATACATGGTCAAATATCCACAATTGTATGGGTGGACTGGGAACTGTAAGCAGTTCACCACATTCTGCAAATGCTTCCTGTTTTCCTACTCAACCAGGACTACCAAATTGCACTGTGACATATCTACACATAAGACAGGGCACCACTAAATGATGCTGACCCCTCCTGGCCTAATCTAATCCATTACATTCACTGCCTACTAGGTGCTGTTATTAGGGAATGCAGATGCTCACCCAGCAACTGGGTGGTACAGGATTACATCATGTGCAAGATCAGTAGAATAATCCACAAAGCTGCTACTAAATCAGCTTTATTTTCGGAACAGCAGTCCTTTTATTCAACTGGAGAAACAGCACTATGGCTCCATGCAGCCTAGCCCACTTTTCAATAACTTACATGAAGTAAGCCAAGCCTACAGCCAACCCATAATGCAAATGGGCCACGTACCACCATGCTTCTACATTGCCAATAAACCAGCAGTTCAGAGAAGTCAACTCATAACTCGACAACTGAAAATATCAAACTACATATGTGGAGTCCAATGACTGCTGGTTCAAAACATCAGATGCACAATCACCCATGTACCATTGCTGAAGGAACATAATGTTCCATGTGGACACAGGCACCATCAGTACAGATGAAATATCCTTACTGACCTGTTTCAGTGACATTTTTCATGGCAGCGGCCATATCATCATAGCGCTCTGCCTGCTCAGCCAGCTTGGCCCGCTGCACCAGCTCATCCTTGTCGGTCGACATGGTGTCTGTAGGATTACAAAATTTAAACACCAGTTGGACACATGACAATCAGGGTTATGACTGATGCTGCAATAGCAAGCATTATGTAGTCCCAAAAACCTGATCATACACCAGTTTCCACAACAAAACATTTTGGCAAGATCTTGTCACATCAGGGTAATAAATGACACCTGGGGCCATTATGCTTATTTTGCACATTATTATTATTGCACATTATTATGCACATTAGGGTAATAAATGACAATGACACACACAAACAAATAAATGACACCTGGGGCCATTTATGCTTATTTGAGAGCAGACGATTTGCTTAACACATCTTATATCACTTTACGGGAAGTAGCATAGCAAAATGCATCACATTGTGTAAAAACAACATGTGACTCAGTCTCAACTGCACCAGACATCTAACTGCTGCAATAACGCACTGTCCCGCGAAGAGCTACTGCAAAAAATTAACATAAGCTGCTGCAAGTCTTTTGCCCATAATAAGTTCTGCTGATTGTACTAAACCTGAAAACTAGCCACAAACAAAAGCATGCAAGACAGAGCAGGCAATAAGGCAGTTCAAGATCTGCAAATCTTATTAGCTGCATGCATGACATGTTCCACATAATTGTCATGGAAGTTTGTATTGCAAAGCAAAAATGTTAAATGAACTTCACATTATGCATTGCATGCAGCTTAGAGTTATGTCTCAAAAGTCACAATAAGCAACACACAAAAAATCAGCCATCAGGGAGCTTTTGAAGACAAGCCCATTTGTTTTCATCATATCAGCCTCTAACCCCAGCAGGGTAGCTGGCTGCCCAATTTAAGGCAATGTCACCTGTCTCCAATATCTGGTTGCCTGGTCTATCATATTTTGGACTGTTTTTACATGCTTCATAACTACACTTTCATTCCCATCTCTCAAGGAAGGCTCTCTCAAAACAGGTTTTGCTCCTAACACCATGTGGGCACTGACATCAGTGGCACCTCATTGCTGCATAGACATGCATCTGGACTGCAAATAATGATCTGGGTACCCAATGAACTTGTGCCCTTGTGTAATCATAGATCCAATCTTGGGATTCAGGCATGTCTGCTGATGAGCATAAACATAATGCAATAATGAGCAATGAGTGAATGAGTCAAACCTGCACAATATCATGTACTAACATCAGTGGCATGTCAGGGTTGTCCATAACTTCTAAACACCCTAGTGCTGTGACCTAAATCACAGGCCTGTCACAACAGTTTGTACAGCCTGGGCCTTGGGTAATTTCCTTTGACAAGTGGACACTTGAAATACAGGTTAGGCCACTCTTAATTCAGCAAGGCAAAAGCCATTATCAACCCGGCATCCTCACACCTTTAACATGGAGATTTACTGCAGACTTAGCCACAGCCTAATCAGCAATTAATCAGAAGACTAGGGTAGACACGCCCAACAGACCCAATCGGTACACCGCTACAACCAAATTGAATCAACCAACTGGCCAAATTCAACCTGAAACTCAACCAGCAGCCCTTAGTTAAACAATATGACCACCTTAAATGGGAGTAACACACAAACCGTGGTACAACCAGGCCCGGAGATAATTTTTTTACGCAAGAAAAGCCACGTGACCACCGGGAGGCACACGGGCGCCGGCCACGCCGCGACGAATGCGTCAACCCAACCCACGGCTCGGCCCAAACTTAAGTTCACTGACGATCGCAGCACGGCAGGCACTAATGAAAACGGTTGACAACGCAAAGAAGGAAAGATTACCTGTTTATTGGGTTTCGGAAACAACGAAAAAAACTTCCAAAAGGCGATGTGTATTTGCCAGGAACACCGACCGGGCACCACGGGAATTTGCCGGGAATCGAGGGCTGGTGAAGGATTTGAGTCGAATGCCGGTAACAAGATGGCTTTACAGTTGCATAATGTTTATGGTTTTAAAAATTATTTCTTACGTTTTTTCGAGTTAATTTTAGTTGAAATGACTCAGTAATTAATACTTTTATTATCTATATCCAGATATATTTATTCTATAGAAGAACTGTGTAGACCTTACGGATTAACATTCGGTGGCTTGATACCCTTGGGGGAATAGAACGGGGGGTATTAGTAATAAAACTGAAGTTGTGCGGACAATGGCTATAAATTGTCAACCTCTTGCGGTGCTCGATTGCCTTCCCCCTCTTAAAAAACCCTGCCGCTAAGGCACAATGGGTGAGGGGGAGTGTCTGGGGGCGGAGGCGGTCTCAGGACCCGCCGCCTTGAAATTGCCGGAGCGCTTGTCCAGTTAGTTCGTAAAGTCGGTGAAGCCGACTTTTTGTGCTGTTGAAACCGATGACACGTCCTTTCTTGCCGCACATTCAGGAGTGTCTCAGAAAGTGGGCTCCCCACGCACCAGATTGCTGTTAACCACCCGTATGTAGGCTAGCAAATTAGGTGATTTTCTTTATAGAAGCTGTACTTTTCAGGCGGACTGTGCGCAGACCCGGGGTATTCGGTCTACTTCCCATTAGTGAAAGAGTCGGGTCATTTCCCAAAGTTCAGTTAATTTCCTTTGTGTTTGCCCTATGCGCTCACCCGCCTTCCTCAACAGTAGATCTGGAGCCACATTGCGGTCGATATTCGCTGAACTATGGGCTTATGATTAACACGACTCTGCACCAGATGTAACGCGACCCCATGATGGCAATGAGCTCAAGAACTACACCTGACACAAAACTACCAGGGTAAAGAGTGGTGACCGATTCTTCGTTCTATGCTCAACCGATAAACCCACCAACACACCTCACAACTCCGGCTTTCGAATCCCTTTGTACAGTTCGGGAGATGCCTGCACCGGAAGAAGCAATGGAACTTGCGTTTTTCATTGAGGCATCGGCGGCAGTGGAAAGGCTCTATCATTAATTCAGAAGCGGCTCGTTTCCAGTCAGGCAGGGACCCGGTATAGGGTGAGAAACGGAGAGCTTTAGGCGCGGAAAAGGCCTATCTCACTTTTTGTGCCTAGGAAGGGGCCATCCCTGGTCTTGAGTGGTCTTTGACCATCCCTGGTCAAAGAAGGTTTAGAAAGCCAGTGGCAGCATATCCGTGAAGCGAACTGTTCCCCACGTATCAGGGAAGGGTCAAAATGATATTTTCTCCACGTTTAAGGTGGTCCAAATGGGCCCCTGGCGGATACGTGGAAGACGTTCTGTTACTGCGTGTCATCCAAGTAAGCACAAAGAGTCCATCTCAAGCTTAGAAAGGATCAATTTCAAGACAGGAAATTCCCGCAACACGTTGAGGCACGGAAAGGGCCAATTTCCGGTCTGAAATTGGGCCGATTGTGAACTCAACAGCGCCTTTCTCTGATCGGGGCTGGCAATCGTGAACTCAGAATGGGTTCCTCTCAGGCCTGGGTAGGGCCCATGGTGAGCACAGAGAGGGCACTCTCAGGTCTGGGGAGCGCGCATCGTAGACTCACGTAAGGCGTTAAATCAAGGAATAACAGGTTTTAGACTGAGAAAGTGCGCATCTCAGGTCCGAAAGGGTCCATCGTAATATTCAAGCCCGAAAAGGGCCTATCTCAGATCTCACAAGCTGCATCTGATGCCAGGGGAGAGGCCAGGGTTTTGGAGGGAGAGGGGGCGGCACGCAGCTTGATAAAAGACTCCCGGTGAAAAGGCATCCCGAAAAAACTACCAGATTTGGCCCATTTTATTTCTAGGGACCTCAGCTTTCCCCTTCTGTCATGATCATGCTGATGAATGCGTTCGTTGAGGAGCCCAGTGGGTTAAAAACAAAGGAGACCCCTTACCTTTTGCGGACAAGGAGAACACTAGAGGGCTCCGTTGCCTTTCCCGGTCAGGGATTGAAAGGGATTCCCGTTCCTGGCTCCTATTCTGGAGACACGGTGACCGGGGCTACCCGCTCAATCAGGAAGGATGCAGAGAGATGCATCATGCATCGGTCCCCTCCCTGACGTGGAAGACCTTCAGACAAGAGCAGTAGATCTCGGATCGACGCGGAAGAGGGGGGGGGGGGGGGCTCATTGACGTCAAAGGGTCGCTTACCGACACAGTAGGTCCAATAATTGGCAGACGACACCAGTTTGGTTTGTCGGGCCCCTGTCTAAAATGAGATGGAGGTCCGGCGCCACGTTTGTCCTTCGGCCTGTATCTGACAAGGGGCCCTTTCACTGGCTCAATTTGCACCCTTTCATTGTCATAAGCCCTATCTCCTTTCATTTCCAGCGGGCTCGGTCAGCTTAAAAGGCCCTTTGAAAGTTGGAGTCACGTCCCTGTCCATTTTCATAAACGGAACCATGGCCGACTTGGTGACCTTGCCAATACAGAGTCCCCTGTTAGGCGAACAAACCAGCACAACGGTCCCTCATTACCTCAGGAACACCGACAGATGCAAAGGATCCTCTAACAATCACGAGCCCCAGGATGGTCCCGGTTTCAGAAATGGGCCCCAGGCCATCACGGGCAGGTTGTTCGACTTCGTGGTCGATGATCGACTGGCGGTCTCTCATTGCCCCCAGGGTCCCCGGATCGGCGCAAGAGGCCCTATGATGGACAATTGCGGGCCAGGATTCCCTCGATACAGCCTCTGGCCAACTCTTTAAGCACCTTTGTCGGGCCCTTGATTGTCGGCCCCGATGCGCCCCAAGGGCCCGTCTGGACCAAAGGGGAGACATGTGTAACCAGGCACCCCAGCCTGCGTCCCGCCTTCAGCTTATGATGGGTCTGTCTCAGACCTGAAAACAACCCATTTCCAGATAAAAACGTCCATGTAAGTTTGGGTCTGGGAATGATTGGTGTGCGATCAGGCAAGACCCATCGTAGACTTAGAAAGTGGCCATTTTCGGTCAGGAAGGGGCTCATGATAGGTTCAGAAAAGGTGCTCTCAGGTTTGGGGAGGGCCATGGTAGACTCAAAAACGCCCTCATTGATCAGGGTACTATCCATTTTAGGCTGATAATGTGAGCAGTTCATGTAACGGAAAGACAATTTTCATCTTTCAGGCCCGGGATATACTCACGTCTGGTTAAGCTTAGAAATGGCCAACGTAAGGTCTCGGAAGTGTCATTTTCTCATGCCAGCGATGACACAGGTCAAGTCAGGACGGAATCAGCTTTTGCTGTTAGACCTAACAGCATTCCCTCCCACGCCTGCAAAGACCTGAGTGGGGATGACCCCATCTAAGGCCTAGAATGGGGATGGGGATGGGTCCTATCTTAGGCCCAAAATGAGCTATGACTTATCGGGAGAGGACCCATGTTGTCACATCCACATGCAGAACACATCGTTAGCATAGCCGGAGTTCTTTTTCTGCCACCAATGTTTGATGATTTGGTAGCATTTGGAAGCTTCCGAATAGGCTTATGCTTCTACTTCTAAAACAGTAACACTGGGAATGGGGCGATGGATGCGCGCCCCCTAAGGGCCCCTCGGGACTTACGATTAAACGCTCAAATTGAGGGCCCAAGGGCCCGAAAGCCTGGCCGAAGGTGGTATTCAGGGGCCTGGCTCACAGGCCCGTACACTCTAATACCAGTTAAATGGCCCTGCGCGCTGCTAGGGGGCAAATGAGTCGATAAGGGCCTATCTGTCGGTCAGACACCACCAGTAACGCAAAGTCGGCTCCGTGGCGGTATGAGCCTGACCGGATCCAGCGACTTATATTGGTCCCACCATCGGCATCGTCCTGTGCTGGCAAAGGCCTCAAGTCGGCCAGAGGTAGTGTTCGAGGAGACCCGAAAAGCCTGGAGGACCCACCGGATCCGACGATCAAGGGCTCGATTTGCGGGTCTAAGAGCACGATCGGCTAGTCAGAGTCTTATTCGGGGGCACTGGCCTTCGGAGACAGGCCATCAAATGACAGCCAGAGGGCCCTCTGCACCGGCAAGGGACACCCTGAGTCGATATGGGTCTATATGCCGATCGGGCGCCACCAGTGCCACACCGTCCGCCCCATATCGGTAAGGGCCTGAGGGCCCATTTCCCAATAAGCTACAAAGCCAGGGCCAGTGATTTACGCTGGTCGGCGATCATCCCCTGTATCTGTCAGGCAACCCCAGCGCCTAACAGAGAAACCTGTGCTCGCAGGGAGCCCCGAGGCGACCAAATGCAATGCTCGATGAGGGCCGAAGAGGGCTTGGGCGGCCTAACGGAACAGACTATCGAAGGTCCGGTTGGAGGGCATAAGGGCCCGAAGGATTGACTGTACGTCACATAAAGGAATCGCGGCCCGTAGGATCGTGACCTGTAACATCAGTCAGAGGTCCTCTTGCATTGTTTGAGGAGCGCTGGGACAATGTGAGTGGCTAAGTCTGCCAGAGACCAAGAACACCGAACAATTAGCTCCCTTTCAGTGTAAACCCTGGGGGCCCATTTTCCAAGCAGGAGTAAGGCCGGGGCCACGATTTGCATTGGTCTGGGTCCGTGACATAGTGGCTGGGGCCTCTTTGTCGGTCAGGGGCAAAGATCAAGGGCCCGACAGGACTCGGACCCGGTCACTCACCCGTAGTGCCATGACCTGACATGTCAGTTATAGGGCTACTATCAGGTACCTCTTATTAGGATTCCCTATCCCTATCATATAGGGCCTGGCCCTCGATACGGAGACAAACAATGGGATTCATATTCGTGTGAACATTTGAGACCCATTTCCCAAGAGGAACGAGGCTGGGGCCCGCGGTTTCCAATGTTCGGGGTTCTTGATACAGTAAGGGGCTCCCGTGTCGGTGAGGGGCCACAGCGCCTAACAAGGGGGTGTGTGGCAGCAAGCGGTCTGAGTCGGACAGGAGTGGCGTTTGAGGGAGCCCGAAAAGTGCCGAAGGGTCTCTTGAGGCCAAAGATCAAGGGCCCAATACGAAGGCCA